GTAAAATGGTTCTTTTTTTCTATAGGTTTATAACCTAGTATAAGAAATAATTAAAACCTCTACACAGGTAACCACGGTGCAAGGTGGAAAGCAACAAGGCAGGAGGTCTAGCAAGCTGCCGACCCAGTGTGGGTTGAACTACTTGGCTACCATCTTGCGTTCATGAACATGGTGGAGGAAGCTCTGTTCTTCTCACAGGGAAACCCCCAACCACTGTGGTCCTCTCTTCCTGCCCTTCCAGAGGTGATAACTCACCAGCTACTTGGTCTAGAGTTTATTACCCTGGTCATTTGATCAATCTGAGAAGACCTCTCTTTCCATTATCACAGCTTACCATCACATGCAAGTTTCCTTTATGCATTTATGTACTATTATTACTATTATTTTTGAGACACAGTCTCACTCTTTTGCCCAGGCTGAAGTACAGTGCTATCATCTTGGCTCACTGCAACCTCCTCCTCCCAGGTCCAAGTGATTCTTGTGCCTTAGCCTCCCAAATAGCTGGGACTACAGGCACGTGCCACTGTGCCTGGCTAATTTTTGTACTTTTTGGTAGAGACGGGGTTTCATCATGTTGGCCAGACTGGTCTCAAACTCCCGGCCACAAGTGATCTGCCTGCCTCGGCCTCCCAAAGTGCTGAGATTGCAGGTGTGAACTACTGTGCCTGGTGGCATTTATGTATTGAATAAGTATTGTTGTTACTTAGTACTGTTAGCTAACTTTTATTTAGTTCCAACTATGTACCAGACACTGTTTTAAGGCATTATCTGTATTAATTCATTTAATTCTATGTCAAAGGAAGAGGCTATCTCTCAAAATCTGAAACAATATTTGAAGCTCAATTGTCTGTTCATCAAGGGAGAACAATATATCTCTCTGAACAAAGCAAAAGTTGAGCCTATATAGAATTTTGGAAGCTATGGAGGGGAGGAATTAGCAAAAATGCAGAAGTTGGAGTCTTTAAGGAATCGACTGACTTTCAAATTCAGAAGTGTGGTTTCTGGAGTAAGCCCGTGGTCCGTGGTCTGACTTTCAGAAGTCAAACGAGTGGCTGCAGTAGCAAGAATGGAGAGGAGAGGAAAGGGAGGGTCTTTCAGCCACAGTTTCCCTTAATAATGCAGAGAACAGAAACCCAGGTTTGCCTTGCTGACTGCTCGCGGGGTTCTTTCAGCCTCCACTGTCTCTTCTCTATGCCATTATCTGTGTTCTATGTCTATTGCATCCCCAGCCAAAGGTTTTTCCTGCTTAATCAGGTCCAGTCTCCTTGCTGTGCTATCAGTTCAGAAAGGCATACAACCTGCGATGGCATCTCAGAGGAGGAAGACATTATCGCTGGTTGGTTGAAGGAACCAGGAAGAACTTCTTTCATTGAATAGTCAAAAAATGTTCATCAAACTCCTACAAACTGCCAGGCACCTTCTGGGTGCTACGGAAATAATAGTGAAACCAACAGACACAAACTTATGCTCTCACAGAGCTTAACCTTTCTTTATTGGAGAGACAGATATTAAAAAAAATATATATATAAATTTGTATAGGTATTATACGTCCCATCGTAATCACTGCTCTGGAATCAAAACAGAGAAAGTAGTGCAGAGAGGTAGTTGCATCGTCGTATGAGGTGGTCAAGGGAGGCCTCCCTGAGAAACTAATGTTTCAGGAAAGAATCAGAATGGTGAAAAGACCACAGATGGTAGAGCTGTATGAGCTTGGAGAACAGTAACGAGATGAGGTCTGAAGTCCATGAGATAATAAGGAAATGGGCCTTAGAGGTTATCAGAAGGATGTTAGCTTTTAGTTTGATGAGGAGTCATTGAATGGTTTAAGAAGAAAAGTCATCATGTGATCAGATTTACCTTTTCAAGGGAACATAGGAGGTACTGTGTTTAGAATAGTCCACAGAGAATGAGGGGAAAGGGTGGAAGAAGGTGGTTAGTTGGGAGGCTACTGCAGTAACCCTAGCATTTGATGGCGGTTTGAACTAAGGTGGTAAAAGTAGAGGTGATGAAAAGCAGTCATATCCTAGGTATAGTCTTCATGGAAGATTCCTCAAATTGAAAGATTTCATTAAGAGCCACTATAAACTCTAGCAGTTAGAATGAAAATTCTGAATATCCTTCCTCAGGAGACCACAGCTTGACCTATTCTAGAATCTCCAGAGGGCCTTTTTTGACCTGGGCTGGGGGAGAAAGAGGCACATTATCACATCTGGCTATAAAAATGAAATATGTCCATCAAAGACAAGACATAATCTAGACCCAATTCTGTATAGATTTTTATAGTATTTTCTCCTAGATAATTGTGTGAATTATGGGGATTTTTTTAATTCATTGGTGTGAAGACAGTGATAATTTAAATTTCACTGCTATTCTGGTTACGAGTGGGTGTTGACATTTTTTATTTTATCGTGTGTGTGTGTGTGTGTGTGTGTGTGTGTGAGACACACACACAAGGAACAGGGTGAGAGAAAGAGAAAGACTGAGCAGGCTATAGAGCTGCTGCTATTCTCTGGGTAATAAAAGCTTGAAATCCCACTAATGAGGTTAAAAAAAATCTTAACTTTTTCTGTGTGCTTAATAATAGCACTGCCTACTCACATAACCAGAGTTCTTGGAATAATTGCCCTCTTTCTTACTCTATTTTTAGGGCCTAGAAAATTTGAGAGGAGAGGAAAGTACCTTCAGGTGCAGAGCATTTCCATCTAAAAGCTCAATTCTAGGACTTCAACATTTGGCTCTAAACCATGTTAAATGTTTCCTTTCATGTGAAAGTGAAGGCTGGAACTGACATTCATCATTGGAGCTCTGAATGGCTCCTCTTTCAGTGAGAGGACAAAAGATTGATCCTTTGCTGCAGATTCCATCTTTCCCCAGTTGGGGGATCTTCCTGTAACATTTTTTTCTGGTGCTTTTGTAGACACCATTTGTGTTTGCCAGTAACAGAATTAAAGTGTTTGTGAAGCCATAGAATTTTATCAGAACGTTTAACTTTGAGGAGAAGGTGGAGTCTAAAGGTATGATCAATGTTAATTATTGTTAGAGCCCTCACTAAGAGTAGAAGTGTTTGAAATACATATATTTAGAAGGGTTTTTTTTTTTTTTTGGTAGACCATTGGAATATTTAAGATGGATTTAAAATAGAAGGTACTGTGTGAGGTACAGTAAAATTGTTCCTGTAAATTTCAACAATTAAATGAACATATACATTATAAGGTGGAGAAACACACTGATTAGAAAAAGAGAATATGATTAAATCAAAGCTTGTGCTAGAAATTGGTTGAATGTCTGGATTGAGTTGCCAGCATTATTTTTGTGGAGGGCTATTTTGGGTAGGCAGTAACCTTTCTTCTCAGATATAGATTTTCATGTTGACTTTTAACATTTAGTCAATGATCGGAATGTACAGTCTTGAACATGTTCCGTCTCATCCTTTTGCCTGTGCTTAAACTGCAAGGTTGAAAAGTTTAAAGTCACTTAATACAGGCTTAAACCATTGTGCCGTTTTCTTTCCTCTATCATTCTCTAGGTAGAAAATGGCTGAAAAATTACAGGCTTTCAGGGACAAAGCAGTATCTGTAATATAGAGGAACATTTAAACATAGAATTAAAACATACAATTAAGATTAGTGACATATTTATATCGCTGCTTTTTAAAGGAATGATTTAAAAGGGAAAATATGGTATCCCTAACAAATTACGAGAGAAAGAGTATGTGCGCGTGTGTGTATGTGTCTGTGTGCATGAAACAGACGTGGGCTTATGTTTACGAAGATCTTTTTGTACATGTGTTTGAAAGGTGACTGCAAGAATGAGTAAAATGAGTTGCATTTACATTTCTTCGGCTCCTCCACACTCCCTGATGCGAAACAAGATGATGCAAGAATGGAAAATAGAACTTTCTGTGTAAACTTTGTAATCTAGTTCATAGAGAAATTGGCCAACAGCTACATACACCTAAAGGAAGAGGGAACATACATTTGGAGAAACATATTCATGTGGGCCAGTTCAAGAAGAAAGCAGCTAGCTCTTTGCCTTTGAAGATTTCAATATTCACTTTGCTGAAGGTGACCCGGTGATCCCTCTTAGATGCTTCCATAATTCAGATACATCAAATACATGATGGACCTTTATAAAATTCAATTTGTTATTTCAGTCTGGAAATGCATTCTCTCTTCCTTAAAGAAAACAAATTGTGTAAGGACAGGTGATATTTTCTTTATCTCTGCCCAAAGCTTCATCCTAGGGCTCAGAAATGCTAAAGGACTTTGTACAAGGAAATGAAGCTAAAAGCTTGCTACCTTAATTATAGGATACCAGATTCTGAAAGTTAAAACAACTATTGTATTATATTGTATTTATATTTTAAGGGGACACCGACAGCATAGAGGAGGTGTTAATTCTAGATAAAATCTGAAGTGATTTTTCCTCATCCTTTTCTCCAAATGCTTAACTCTTCTTCCTCCATCTTTAACTCTCCTGTGGTAGAGTAATGGCTGTCTCTGAGGAAAGGATTAGGGAAATCACTTAATCATTCATGCATGTGTAGGAATGCCAATGAATATATACTCTCTTTTAGGGGTATAGTTGCTTTGTGAACCAACTCTAATTACAGAAATCATTTTTTTCCCCAACTTCAGACACCATCTAGCATGGGAATTGGTGTATGTGAATGGTACCTTTCCTCATCAGACCTGAAATTATACTGAATGAGGGGTCATATACTCCATGACTAACTCAGCCCAGTACAGAGTAACATATATAATAAGGTAGCTTTACTTAATCCATAAATTGTGAGCTTTCCTTGTAAAATTTTCCTTAACTCTGTCATACCATTGTGTGTCATAAGAAATCGTCAGCTGAACACCTCAAATGATGCCTCCATGTATTAAAAGATGTGCCGTTTGAAGCTGGGATAGTGATGCATTTTGTCCCCTGTGCTTCATTATGTGATATATTAGATTATATCTCAAACACAATTTGTTTGCATGCTTCCAGGAGCTGTTGATCAGCAAGAGATGATTCCAAGTAAGAAGAATGCTGTTCTTGTGGATGGGGTTGTGCTGAATGGCCCTACAACAGATGCAAAAGCTGGAGAAAAATTTGTTGAAGAGGCCTGTAGGCTAATAATGGAAGAGGTGGTTTTGAAAGCTACAGATGTCAATGAGAAGGTAAAAATTAAAACCTGTAAGAAATTGCAGAAATGGGAAAGATAGATGTTCCCCAAATCAGTATGGCTGAATATAAGGGAAATGGGAAGGCCAAGTTTTTATTTCTTCTATGCCTTTGTCTCAAAAGGATGTCCAGATATAAAAATGTAGGCTGTCCTTCAGGCAATTCCTGCTTTCCCTGAAGGGTTGACTCCCTCTGCCAGTCATCATTCATGGGAAGATTGACTGAGACCCTAGAGCTTAATCACATAAGGCCATGAAGCACAGGGATGAAACTCTCTGCCCTAGGTAATAACATAGATAAGTAACCTGCTAATCTGACTTATGCAACTCTCTAATGCTCTTCGCTCCCCATTTTCTAGTGCACACTCTTCATGTTGCTCATGAAAATCAAGCAAAAGGTAGAAAAAGATGTGAAGATATTTTAAATTTATCTTAAGGTCCTTATCAAGAGCTTGTCTGAATTTAGCCTAGAAATCTTAGAGGGTTAAGCCTGACTCCTTTCTGGTACCAATTATTGATTATAGATTTCAAATTCAGGCTCAAATTCAATTCAAATTAATACTAGAACCACTGCCAATGGCATCTACTCTTAAGAGTACTTACTATGTTCTAAGAACTACTCCTTATGTATTTAATCCTTTCAAAAGCACTAAAAGGCAGATACTATTTACTACCCCCATTTTAGAGCTGGGAAAGTCAAGCAAAAAGAGAAATACCTTGCCCAAGATTATACACAAGTATCAGAGCTGGGATACGATCGGCACTCTTAACTACTCCATATGCCTCTTAAAATTACCGAATTATCCTTTATCACATTGGTTTTCATGTTGGAGGTAGATTATCACCAAATGTTGTAAGGAAGAGATTTTTATTCTAGTTATATTAGTTAGAAATAAATATCATTTTTAAGAGATTTTAAATGTGAGGTGATATTTATTCTGAAGTTTTGATCACATGCCTTTGGGAAAACTAATAGGAAAATAGATTGATGCATGAATTTGGAAGTTATGTTCAAGGCAAAATCCTGATGGTGTTTGGTATTTGCCTAGAGAGCATATGTATAATTACATAATTTCTGGTCTTCTCTGTACTTGTGAAATACTTTGGACCTGCTTCACTTTGGAGTACACTGTTCCTCTGGCAGGGTTTTTTTATTGGCCTTTATTCAGTCATTAAATATTAACTGAGTATTAGCTATGAATAAGGCTTTATATTCAGCCCTAGAGAATACAAAGAAAAACAATAGAAAGGACCGGCTCTGAACATAATTTATAATCTAATTGGAAGGATATGTTTTCATTAGAAAAGGCAGTGGGGGGTTCCAGTAAGGATGTGAGAAATGCTTTGAGACTGGAGCAGATTTTTGGAATTTCACTCAGGAGTGGGTACTTTGAGCTCAGATGTGGAATGTAAAAGGCAAGTGGCAGGGGAAGAGAAAGGTTGGGTTTAGGGTCCTCATTTCTGGAGGAAGAAAGCAGGAAGGTCAATAATGGAAAGAGCATTGCAAAAGGACAAGATGTATTTGACACAGCAAGGGGACCATTTTTTGCCCGGAAAAAAGGGCTCACACAGGGGACGAATAAGATGAGAAATGGAAGATCTTAAGATCCTAAGTTGTCAATGAAGGAATCACAAGTCAACCACAATGTAATATATGTGCAGGCTACCACGGGAAGTTGGATTGAAAGCTATGTTAGAGTTCAGGGAAGGAGGTGAAGTTTTGATACCACTAACTTAACCTACCTTGTTTGAGATCCAACAGAGCACCATTAAAAAGTAGCCTGCAGACACATACTCAAGCTTGATGCAATGATCACTGCTAGTTTCATTAGTAGAAAATTCTTCATCAGTCAGTTTTTAAAACAGAATTGTAATTTACATTCAGAAAAATTTACCCCTTTGGGGTGTGGTTCTGTGAGTTTCAGAAGTCATAACTATTACTACGACATGATGGAACTGTTCTATATCTTTATTAGAATAGTTATACAACTATTCTGTGCCCCTCTTTAATCAATTTTCTCCTTTCCTCTAGCCCCTGAAACCACTGATTTTCTTTCCCTGATACTTGCCTTTTCTAGAATGTCATATTGATGGAATTGTATCGTAGCAGCCTTTGAGTCTTGCTGTTCACCCTCAAGAAAATGCATTTGAGATTCATCCATGTTGTTGAATGCACCAGTAGTCATTACTTTTGATTGTCTCAGGCATTTCCAATTTACCTCTGGCCTGTTATGGTTATAGCATCAGAGTTCAATTTCATACTACTTGCACAACTTGGTATTTCCTTCTGCTTCCCCCAACCTCCCAGTCTTTTCACTCCCTGGCTACTTCCCTATCTCTCTCCTCCCCTCCACAGCCAAAATTTTTAGAGATTATCTATACTCCCTCCCTCCCTTCTATTTCTTCACCTCCTACATCCTCACTTCAAAGCAATCTGGCCTCCGCCCCCACCTCTCTAAGTCAAGCTGCTCTTGCCAAGAACACCTCCTTGTTGATAAATTCCATGAGCACTTCAGTCTTTATCTAATTCGGCTTCTTAGCAGTGTTTGACAGTGGTGAACATCTCCTTCCTAAACATTCTTTCTTCTTGGTTATGGTAGCACTAAACTCTCAGGATTCTCCCTACCCCTCTGGCATGTCCTCCATAGTACAGGCAAGCTCCTCTTCCTGTGTCCATTCGTAAGTGTTGGTGATGCCCAGAAAGATTCTGCTCCTCTCTTCTCTGCTGTAGGTTCTCTCTGCGCCACATCATCTACTGTTATATTATCATAGTATATCCCTGGAACTCTGTCCTCGATCTTTTGCAAGAGTCGCAGATCAACTGCTATATAACTTTTGGATATTCTGAAAGTGCTTTGTCCTAAACATGCTTACACCTCATCATCCCCACACCACCCCAACCAGATCCTTCTCCTGCTCTCCCCATTGCTGCCATCCAATCTTGTGTCCAAGCTGGAAACTTCGGAATGATCCTTGGCTCATGCATCTCACCCTCAAAATCTAACTGATTTTCAAGTTCTAGTGATTCTGCATTTTAAATATCTCTAAAAACTACATACTTAAATACAGCATTGACCCTCATCCAGATCATCACCTTCTCTCGCCTGGTTTATTACAGCAAACTCTTATTTCAAATTTTATTTGGAATCTCCACATAACAACTAAAGCTATTGCCCCAAACACAAATATGATTCTTTCATTCCCCTGTCCTACACATTTAAATGGCTTCCTTAGAGCCAAGTCCAAACTCTGTAAATATGTCACAAAGTCCATTATGATCTGAGCCTTGTTTATCTCTGTTTATTCATTCATTTATTCAACACATCTTTATGGAGCACTATTATGTGCAGACTCTGTGGTAGTCACTTGGGATCAGTGAGCAAAAAGATCTACTTGTATGGAGATTATGTAGGATACAGTAAATAACAGTATATTAGAGGGTGATAAGTGCTTTGTAAAAAGGAAGAGTAGGAAAGGTTAAAGGGGATTGATAGAGGTAATGGTTAGATTTTAATTTTGGGTAAGGGAGGCAGGATTGCTGTTGAGAAACTGACTTCTGATTTAAGCTTCGAAATAAGTGAGAGATTCGGTTATGAGGATATTTTGAAAAACGTTCTAGGCAGAGGGCACAGACAGTGCAGAGACCCCAGTATGGGAACATCCCTCATGTAGTTAAGAACAGCAAGGAGGCCAGGGTGGCAGGAGCAGAGGCAGCCAGAAGGAAAGTACTCCCAGATGAGACTAGAGAAAAAATGAAACCAGGAGAAGCTGATCATAAAGGATCATTTTATGTCTTTGTAAGGACCTCAGGTTTTACTCTGAAAGAAATAGGGAGCCATCAGATGTATTTGAGTAGAGAAATGGCCATGGCTTATGTTTAGGAGGATCATTCTGGCTGCAAGGTTGATAGCAGACTGCATAGGGAAGGGTACACGCAGAGAGAAAACTACTTCAGCATTCCTGTTTTATTTATTTCCTCTCCGTTTCTCAAAAATCCATGTTCTAACCAAACCAAATGTACTTGATTTTTCAGATGTGCCATAGGATCCGAATTTTTTATGTTTTTTAATTTTACTTTTGGTCTCTGTTACTTCTGTCACTTCCATCTAGAATCTCCCTAAACTTTACTTGGTTCACTCCACTCTTATTCTATATAACAAGTTAGATATCAGTGTCTCTAAGAAATCAGCCTTAACCTTGCAAATCTAAGATGGCACCCCTCATCGGTACCATCAACATCTACATTACTGTCATAGTTCTTTTCATCTGAACTATAGTTGCATGTTTAAATCTCCCAGTGCCCAGACGTTGTAGTGGTAGAGTCCATGTTTCTAACATCCTCTCAATACCTGGCTATGGTGGATACTCAATTTGGGTTGTGGTTGAATCTCCAGGTGTGTGAATGGAGGCCTCCTGAGCAACTGAAACAGCTTCTTGATTTGGAGATGAGAGACTCAGGCGAGCCACCCCATAGACTATTGGAACTCTGTCGGGATGTCATACGCTACAGCGTCAAAACTAGTAAGAACTTTAATTTACTTCCTTGATCTGTACCTCTGACAAGTTCTTATGTTTGTAAAGCATTTATTTACCTCTCAAAGCTGAGTATAGCGATAGTTATGGAATGAGAAATCTGGATTAAAAAATTAGTGGTTCTGACGTTTTTGCAATGGTCCCTTTAATCCCTAATCCAGATTCACTGCGAAGGCCAAAGATAAGTTGATAGGAAAACTGTTGATGTTAGTGTTTGTATGTAAATATCCTCTTCTCCTTGCCAACCCCCACATACTATTTGTAATTGAGATCACATATTATCACTGTTACTTATTTCTTATGTTAGACCAAAGTGGCAAATAGTATTTTAATTATATATATTCGTTAAGGGATTTTAAGTCTTGATGGCCCAGAGTATGCAAAAAAACGTGTTCAAAAGGTATCTTTTAATATAAACAGAAATAGATTTGGAAGACACTGATTAACTCTTAGCAGTTGGTAACTGCCAAACTATTTGATCAAAACTGGCAGTATCAAAAAATAAAAATAAAAAATAAAAGCCCTTAGATGGATATAAGACAAACGAATACATTCCAAGTTTTTGATGAGATTATTTCACAGTGATGTCATAACTGTGAACTTTCTACATGCAGTGATAGGACGTCAGTCTTACACTGAGGCGCATTCCAACTTACCTGTTAATATCCTGTTCATCCAGTGAACAAGTTTCAAAAATGGGAGAATAATCTTCCAAAATATTTCTCAGTGTAATGTAAAGGTAATCCAGTGCTTAAGACCATACAGGCATTACTTTGTAAATTCTGACACTGGACTAAATTTAGTGGAAAGAACATAATAAAATTCTGGCTAAAAATAATTGGAGTATATTCCCTTGGGAAAGTCTACTGTATGTATCAAAAACCCAGTTAGCATTTCAAAAGCAGAGATATGTATCTTATTATTACAGTGCATGTCAAAAGTGTAGAATGACATTTAATGCAGTAGATTTTTCAGTTTACTGGATATTTTCCATGTTACCATGGAAATCAATCATAAATTAACACAGAACTAAAAAAAACTTATAAAATTACTTGTAGCAGTGCCTGTTTGTTTTCTTTTATTTGCCAGATCAGAGGAAGTTTTCCACGTTTAAGCTGAAAAGACATTTTCTTTTGAGACTTGTTTTATATTGAACCCCTAGTTTAAAGAGAAAAAAAAAACTAAAATAAATTAAAGCCAGATGCTGTAAGTTGTAATGAGGGGTCACCAAATTAAATGATTCCCAAATACTCAAATGTAGAAATAGACCTCCTGCCTATTTATTCTGTCATGCTGAGCTTCCTGTGATTGAGAATGTCAAGCCAGTTAGCTGGGTGTATGGTGTGATTATTCACATGGTATAAAGCCAAGAACCTTTATGAGACCTTTTATAGGAGGGGAAAAAATTAAAACTGGAACAAGATGTTTGTCTCTTAAAGGCAATTGCATTTGAAGCAAATTGAATCAGAAGTGTACATAAGCTGCATAGTGAGTCACATCTTACTCCATCTACATACCGCCAGTCGCATGGGTACAATCTGAAAAATGAAAAGGCTGCTCAGTGCCATAGCCTGGGGAGAACTCTGTTGTAAGTGAAATGTATATGAAAGTGAGAAGTTAATATTGATATTTTCAGAAAAAAAGGCAGTACCCTGTGATCCTTGGACAAACAGTGTTCAAATAATTATTTAAAGGGTTCTGGTTTGGGTCTGGGTTGTAAAAAAGAGGAGCAAGTAAATCAAAGCTCTTAAAAGACAACTCAGATTTTACTTAGAAACACTGATCAGCAGAAAGGGCTCTGAGATGAGTCTTCAACATGTTCTTCCTTGTACATGATCCTGTTTTGGATTTTTTAAAAAATGGGGTATAATTTATATTCAGTAAAATGCACAAATCATAATTGCTTGGCGTGATGAATTTGTACATAGCTGTGCATATGGAGCCGTCACCTGTATCTAGATATAGACCAATTCTAGCACTCCAGAGGCTCTCTGAAGTCCCTTCCCAATCCATAATTCTTTCCACAAAGCACCTACAATTCTAACCACCATCTCCTTAGCTTTGTTGATTTTGAATGCCGTATCAATGGAATTATGTTATATATAATTCTTGTGTGTGTGTCTGCTTTCATTTTCTGAAAGATTCATTTATGTTAATGCTGTATCAGTTTTTTTTTTTTTTAATTGCTGCATAGATGAATACTCTGTTTTAAATTTGCAGACCACCCAAGATTTTTCAACCAATTGTATGCTGGACTTGATTACTACTCCTTGGTGGCCCGATTTATGACTGAAGCATTGAATCCAAGTGTGTAAGTGCCATGCTATAGAAATTTTACACCAAATGTGGATTAGAGACTTTTTAGATGAAATTTTATTTCAAAATTTTCTATTTAATGGTTTCTTTTGCATAATGCCATCGCAAATAATGGAATAGTTTTATGATACTTATCAGATTCAAATAGTTGTTTGATTTAAATAGTGGTACCGTGAGATGGAAAGGGCAGTTATTATCTCCACTTAACAGATGAGAAAATTGATTGGGCAATTTTTAATTTGTTCCTGCATGAAAACCCATTTTCTGTGCTAAGTGATGGAGAGACATATTGAACATAAATAAACCTTGACTCTGCCCTCATGGAGCATAATATCTGGTATAAAAATGCTAATCGAAGTGGTCCACAAAAATTCATATAAAATCCAAACTCTCATCTGAAGGAAAAGTACAAAGTATTCTAAGTATTAATATGAATGGGGCAATTCTTCTTAGTTGGAAGTTCAGGAAAGTGTGCTCTGCAGAGGTGACAGTCGGCACTGAAGAATAAGTGTTATTAGGTAATACAGTGAGGGATGAGTTCTAAATAGACAGAATGACGTGTCTATTATGTGGACACAGCATGTCATTCTCTATGAACTGGAAGGTCAGTGTGGGTATAGCTGAGAGAGTTACAAGGACTGTAGTGGAGAATAAGACTAGAGAAAGAGAAAGACAGGAGCCAGACATACAGGGCGCAGGTGACCATGTTTATGAGTCATTCTAAATTTAACAAAAAGCCATTGAGGGTTTCTAAATCACTAGGTGCCATTTGCTTATTGAAAATATCTCTAAAAGTATAAATAGGTTGGAGAGGACCCGTTAGGAGGGCATTAGTCAAGTGAGAGAGGAAAGTAGCTTGGACTTGAAGAGGTAGGAATAGAGCGGGAAAGAATGAGTTCAGAAAATAAAACAGAAAGGACTGGATACACATCTTGGAAATAATGGTAGGACGGAGAAGGTTTCTGGGACAATGGCTGGGTTTCTGGCTTTCATAGCTGGGTACATGGTCATATCATTCATAGAAATAAGCACTGGGAGAGGGAACTGGTTTTCAAGTACATGGTGAAGGAGGCAAGAGCAAGCAATCCATTTTCAGTTGTGGGCATTTGAGTTTGCAGTGACTTTAAAATACCCAAGAATACATAGGAACTAAGCTGAGAAATATATGGGCCTGGAATTCTGTTGTCTATATGAAAGGTATAAATTTAAGAATTATCAGTGAAATGATGGTAATTGAAATGGTGGACGTGGATGAGATTTTCTATGTCAGTGATTCAACACCCTGACTATTCATGAGAACCACTTGAGAATTTTATAAAAATGTATTGATACCTGGGTGCCAACCCAGGCCAATTAAATCTGAATTTCTGTGGCTGTGCCCCATGCATTGATATATTTACAAAGTTCAACAAATGATTTCAATGGGAAGCCAAGATAAAGAACCACTGCCCAGGAGACAGAGTATAGAGTGGGGAGAGAAGAGGGCTCAAGACTGGGCGTTGAGGACATCTAACATTTAATGGTTAGGAAGAACAGGGTCAGCTTACAATGGCGAGAATAGAAAGAAAAAACTAAAAGGCTAGCTGTGGCAGCCATGAGGAGAGTGTGCCTAGTGTCACATGTTGTTGAATATTCAACTAAGAGCCTAAACAGCGTCCACTGGATCAGCTACATGGACGTCACTGGCAACTTTAGGGATGTTTTGTTGGAGAGATGAGAGCAGATACCAGGTTACAATTAGTTACACAGTGAGGGTAAGTCAGAAGAGACAGTAAAATTACATACCTTTCTCAATCTTTTTCTTGTATATGCCAGGTTTTCTAACTCTTCATCTAAGTTCAAAAATCTCTAAATATTTCAGATTAAAGAAGTGTTAAATTGCTGCTAAGCTAAACCATCCACTCAAAATATGCCAGCCCACGAGTGTGTTCTATCTTGTCTTCCCCTCCACCTCCAGGCTGATTCCTAGGTTTACAGTTGAGCCAGTTTTCAAAGACAGGCTTAATACTTTTATTATGAAAAAGTGAATAACTATTTTATATTTATTTGTAGGTTCACATAAATATATATGTTTTCCCCACACTTTTGATGTATGTACACTGGTTTCATAACATGGTTGAAAAACAGAATTTTTTTTTTTTTTTTTTGAGACAGAGTCTTGCTCTGTTGCCCAGACTGGAGTGCAGTGGCACAATCTCGGCTTACTGCAACCTCTGCCTCCCAGGTTCAAATGATTATCTGCCTCAGTCTCCTGAGTACCTGGGATTACAGGCCCCCGCCACCATGTGGCGCTAATTTTTGTAGTTTTAGTAGAGATGGGGTTTCACCATCTTGACCAGACTGGTCTTGAACTCCTGACCTCATGATCCACCCATCTCAGACTCCCAAAGTGCTGGGATTACAGGTGTGAGCCACCTCACCCGGCCGAATCTATATTTGTAAGATGGCATAATGTTTGTAGAGTTCTTGACACATATGTAGGTGATAAATAGTAGGTGATACATAGATGACCAACTTTTATGCCTCAATCCTAAAGTTTTCCTTTCCAGATGTTAAAATAATTGCATTAAATTCTGTGACATAAATCTAAATGTGTCTGCTTACACATTTAGAGTACACATTTATTCAGATACAATTTAATGTAATCCCTTAATTGAGAAGGAGATCATAGATATGTAGTCACCCTCAAGTTGTCTGGAGAGAGAGAAAATAAACACTACCAAACAAGGCATGGTGACTGTTGCAATGTGGGTTCCCAGGAATGCTGCTCTAGATGGTGTTTAGTGAGTGGGATGTTTATTAAGGAGTACCCTTGGGATCAACATCAGTGACCTGGGGAGGAGGAGGAGGAGGATGCAAGAAAGGGCAGGGATAGGAGGCAAGTTGCCATGCAGCCTCCATGGCAATCTTGGCTGATGCTCGGAGATCTCTGGAACTACAGTGGCCCTTCAGGAGTGGTCTGCAGTTGGGCCCAGACAGCCAGGCCTTTACATCTCCAGCAGTCGTCTGGTGTAGACCATCACAAGAAGGGGTGTGACCCTGGAGGAGGTAGCTCCCTGCAGCTGAGGCAATCTCTAAAGGGGCTAAAACAGCAATGCTCAGACAACAGCATTCCAGCTCGAGCAACAAATCCTACACTGACAAGGGATTTGGGTAGTGCTTTGCAGTAAAATTATCACGTAAGAGTTGTCTCACAGAACACTCATTTATACAGACAGAGAGTGTAGAGGAAACCCTGGTTCAGGTGGAGTAGTCTCCACTCAGAATAACTAGAGGGGACTGTTAGCGTACTCACGATAGTAATCTGATAAAACCTGGTTACCATGACAATGAATTCTTTGACCCTCAACAGCATCCAAGTCAGTATTCCAAGCATCCAAAGAGTGAAATGGCCACTGCCCATGGCTAATACATAGGATGCAAATGCATTGCCTTTATCTCTCCTCATGGAATTGAGGTTTTTCTAGAAAGTAATACTGCTGCAGCAGCTTGCAGATCCCTAAGGCCACAAGCTATTGGCACTTACCTAACCATGACTGGTGCTGTCACTAATGGAGTAATTCTCTATTTTCAATGGATAAATTTCCAAAGACTGCCTACACTTCAGCAGCCACTTGGTTTAATAGAACTCTGTGTGCATTTCTTGGGACACCAAAGGAATGTTTTGACTCTAGTCATAGAAGTGAAGTGTTTTTTATATCCATCTAGTTATACGTATGAGGTGTCCCCAGTGTTTCTGTTAGTGGAAGAAGCAGTTCTGAAGAAAATGATTGAATTTATTGGCTGGAAAGAAGGGGATGGAATATTTAACCCAGGTGAGTACAATTAGTTATTGATATCAATCTTCCAATACAAACACAAAAATTTACCTATATGAGGAACAACTCCTTGCAGATTTATACATGACAAAAAGTTGGATATTAATAATTCTACTTGCTAAGAATCTAGCTTATGCCTTTCTCCAGAGTGATCACATTTTGTATTAATGCTAAATAAGTGACATACATACTTCATGAATGAGATGCCTACAATTTAGGATTCATATCTAACAAATGAATTGATCAGTTGCTGGAAGTTTGGAAAGGCTATAAGTCCTCTAAATTTTAAAATCAAATTTTACTTGAGAAGATTTCTGAATTACATTTGTTTATCCTGTAGTCCTTTTTTGGAGCCAGAGACCAACAAATATTATTTCAATTTTATTGATTAGGTGACAGAAAGAATATTAACTATGGAGACCTAGGTACTGACTCTAAGTCCAGAGCTGACAGATTGAGACTTTTGGTTTGAAAAAAACCCTGTCATGAAAATACACCAAAATTTATCTTTTTTTCTAAGAATAAAAGTTCTGGAATTAGAGATTAGGGTATGCAATAAAATCTTCAGAGTAGTGGGAGCAGGGAGGTCGCTGCTCATGTGCTTTTCACAGTGATTTTTCATTAGACTAGGGCAGCCATGGCCATCCATGCTTTCCACTGTATTCAGCATTTTGTGAGCTACAACTTCATGCTACAAATGTGCCATTTTAATTTTGTTTTTGCAGGTGGCTCAGTGTCCAATATGTATGCAATGAATTTAGCTAGATACAAATATTGTCCTGATATTAAGGAAAAGGGGCTGTCTGGTTCACCAAGATTAATCCTTTTCACATCTGCAGAGGTAAAAATTATTTTTTGTGTTGAATATAGATTTTCTGAGAATGTATATTTAAGAGGGCTTGTTTGAGGACTCCTGATGCGATTTTGTCCTATACCCATGTGACTGATATGCTGCAGTATAACATAGTATTTCATTCCAAAGTAAATTCTAAGGAGTTTGATGTTGTAACGCTTGGTCCAATTGTGTGTAATTACCTTTATTTAAAGTGTATAGTCTGTAAAAACATTTTAAGAAAAGAATATTTAATTTGAAAGTGCTATCTCTGTGAATCTCTTTTTTTTGAGTGTCTTATTTGTCAGTATTTAGATGAACACTATGGATCTCAGCTATGTCTTCTACTCACATTTCCTTGTAAAATGATTGCTTTGATTGGCTAATATAAGGGATGTGTATCTTTTCCAGGGAAAAGGAAGATATACAGTAACAACGAAAACACACACACACACACACACACACAGAGAGAGAGAGAGAGATTTTGCTGTGGCAAAAGAGATTGTGTTCTCAATCTCTTATATTTTACTCTCTACTCAAGTAGGAGGTCAGATGGTGGATAAGTGCATTGGCTTTGAGTTAGGCTGCCTGGATTCAGTCCCTGCCTCTGCCACTTACTATCTGAGTAACCTTGAGTGAGTTAATTTCTCTGTGCCTCAGTTTCCTAAATTTGTAAAAATAAGTTTATCGTTTAGCTCTTATAAGCAACAAATCACCCCAAATATACAGTTATCATTCCATAACTGTATATTATCTCTTGTAAGTCTCAAGGTAGCTGGGCATATTTGCTGCTCTTGGCTGGGCCCCCTTCCACGTCTAGGGGTTGGCTGACTGATGGCCCACCTATGAGTGGCTCAGCCTGGATGATTCCAGTGATGCCTCTCTGCTCCATATGTCTCTCATTCTCCAGGTCAGTCTAGGTGTGTCCTCATGGCAATGGCGCAGGTATAAAAGGGCATGGCAACACATCAGGTCTCTTGAGTCTTAGCCTCAGAACTGGCCATTGTTACTTCTGCCTCATTTTCTTGGCAAAGTCCCATCTCTGAGCCCAGATCCAAGATGTGGGAAGAAAGATCCCACCTCATGGGGAGACTTGCCGTAAAGTCACCAGGCAGAGGATTTGAATACATGGAACAGAGTACCACTGAAACCACTAGAACAATCCAGCAACCACGCGGTAGTTGCTGATTAGTGAGTTTTGGCAAATGTTAAATGAGTAATTGCATGTAAAGTAGCATCTGGGACATAATAGATTTTTTTAAATATTAAATATAATTGTTACTAGGAGAATGATCCAGCTACAACAAGGTGGGCAGAAGTAGATGGAACAGCTTAAGTGCATCTTTTATGTGGAAGAGACTTTTTCCCTTTCCTGTTCTTGTGTGACTCCAGTGGATGCCTCTGTCTCTTCTACCACTGCTTCATCACCCAGGTTCTTGGCAGAATGAGTTTAGCTTCTTATCCTCTGAGATAATACCAGGTATCCTGTCATTAACATGAAGTGGGCAAAATAAAAAACTGAGGGTTTGTTATTTCCAGCTGGGCTTTCCTGTATCTATCATTTTCTTCTAAATACAAAAGTTAGTTTCTTATTGCAAAAGGACCAATTGTGCACTAATTTCTCCTCAGTAGGAGAAAATATGACCACTCTCATGTTTTCCTCTTGCCCTGTCTGACCTTTGCGCTCTGGTTCTTTCAGCACTAAGTGCAAAGTGGGAGTTGAGTGATGGGAGGCAACTGGGAGGAATCATCTAGCCTGAGATTCTTAACTCAGCCATTCGAGGCTCTTGTTCGTAAGACGCTCTTTCTGTACCAAGAGAAGAATGTTTGGTAATATGGACAGCTGGAAAAAAGTACCTGATTATTTGGGATTATTATGGAATAGAGTTTCCTTCTTCATGCTTCAGCCCTGGATATTTCAATGTGAGGGACCCCAGTGGATCATAAATGCAGAGTCTCTTCTGCATTCAAACTGCTATTTCCAAGTGTGGGAAAGCTGATTAAATAGCACCCTGGTTGTCAGCTCAGGTTTTTTACTTTTGCCTTTTTCATTCTTCATTTGGTTTAAAGCTTGCTGGAGTTCTTCTGGAATAATTACCATGGAAAGGGGAAAGATATTATATGGAAGCCTAGAATAAAGATGATGCCTGGGAAAGATCAGTAACAGGTGGGGCTTGTGAATTGGGAGTGAAAAAAGTGAAACCTTATGTGGTTGTGAAACCAGAACTAAGTGGTTTTCAAAAATTTTCCAAATAGAGGCAAAATATATGCCTTGGCTAACATGCCAGCAGAAGTTGGAGCCAGAAAAAACCAAGAACTAGGTGTGAATTCCACAGAAAAATTACATCACTTCGAGCACACTGTAGCCTGGAATTTATATTTTCACTCCATTGGTTGAAACACTACTTTGCAGCTCATTCCTTTCCCTGCTCTCTCAAAGAGTCAAGTTATAGCATTTGCACTATTTTAATTCATATTTTATTGACTGCCTTTACTACTTACTACAACAAATCAATTTCATTAAAGAATTAAAGAAGGTTGTGTTTACTAAACAGTCTTAAACTCTGCGTTAGTCTTTTTGCTATATCTCCCTTATTTCCTTTTAGGGGTTTGGTCTATGGCCCAGTACTGTTCTAGTAGGTGATCTTTTCCAGTTTTTGTACTACCCCAAATTACTCCATCTCTATCTTGCACCATCAAGTGCAGAATATATGTACCCACCACTGAAGGTGTTTTTGCATGCGTTAGGCTTTTATTGTAATTCTACTATTGATAGAGACCTGCAAGATCACGACAAAAACCTCTGCACTGTCAGTATATCCAAGGTTGCCTCTCTAGTGCTAAATGGGAATCTAAGAGAAGGGAACTTTTGAAGAAATAAAAGTAATAAATCTGACTTGGTTTGCACTTTGATATAAATTCCGTGGGTGTATAGAAATCCCAGGTTTGTAAAGTTCCTGTATATTTCAGATCACTTCTGGAATTAGCATAAAGTAGTGATCATGATTTGCCACTAAAAAGTGAGGGTGAAAAAGAAACTCTTACCTCCCAGGCCAGTAATCAATGGCCTAGCTCCTCTCTAGCAGGGCTTGGGCTGGGAGAGGCAAGTGAGGTAGGTGTCTAGGGTGTGTCTCAGGGTCATGCCTCTAAATTGTGCACCCTAAGGTGCCTCCTTCACTTCCTCCTGATCGCTGAGTGAGAGCTGAGGTTGAGTTGCGATGGGATGTGATTGCAGGTCTTCTCCTCAGGCAAGCAGGTGCTTCGTAGGACATCTTGCAGAGCATGAGTCTGGGTTCAGTCTATCTGGCTTCTGGTTCTGGCCTCTTTGGGAATTAAACCAGCTGTGTGTTCTTAGAGACATCCCCTGGAAACTCTTTTTCTTCATTCTCTAAAATGTAACATTTATATACCCCGTTCTCTCTACCAGCTAACTTGAGAATCAAATTAGTCAGCATTGGAGTCCAGGTGTCCAGGGCACAGTGTACACTGAGGAGAAAGCAGCAGTTCATTGAGCAGCTCAAGGTCATAGAAAAAAAATCCTTGTGGGAGCCAGAAAGTAAAACTCCTGCTCAATGCCGTCTTTCATGTAGGCACTTGCCATTTTATCTTTATAGAAAGGAACACCCACTGAGAGTTTTTTCGTCTTCTGTAGATTTATGAAACCTATGGGGAGGTTGGGTCTTAGAACAACCGACTTATCTTTTGCCAGTGATAGAAACAGCCACTGTTTGTTTCTAAATGCAGTTGTTACTTTTGAATTCCAGCCTTCTAGGTTTTTCCTTTCCTTGAAACTACTCAGCATGTCTGAAGCATCACCTTCTTTTGTTCCCCTTCCAGGACTCTTCCTTCTCTGAAGCTTTCAGATATTTAAACTTCAGTTTTGCCGAGTTTTTTTTGATCTGTCTATCTCAGATTGACATTGGGTTGTAATTTGCACTGAGGTACTTAAAGAGAGCTCCACTATTCTTATTCTGATTACAAATTTTTTATTCAGCAGATTCATTGGTTGGAGATATTTTGCTATTTCTCAGGGGGAGAGCATTGTGATTTTCCTTATAGGTAGATATCAGTGAGGCAGGCTAGCATTTATCATTATGAAATCAATAGCTGTTTGGTTGCCAGAGCCCAACTCTCTGGTGAGAAATAACTCACCCAAGCTATGTCACCTTAGCTATGGCAGGCAGGTTACCGCCAATCAGCATAGGCTGGTGGAGCAAGTAGAGAAGTAATTACACTTTCATGTACATCATTACTCTTCAGTATGCATATGGTCTTGTAACAACCTGAAATAAAAGCATCCTATAGGCATTTTGGACATGTCCTATTTGATATTTGGAAATTAATTATTTAGAATGGTTTCATTGTTCCTGATGTTACTTCTGCATTTATTTTTACAGAGTTAAAAAAAGAGCTCCCAATAAAACTCTCTTGACAAAAGAAGGAAAAAATTACCACATTTGAGGGAATATATCAAGTGAAGTGTGAAGGCATGACTACTCTTTTAATGTATTCATACCTACAAATTACTAAGATTTTCTTTGGTACAATGATGTCCTTTAGCACCCTCATTTTTTGGGGATGAAAAAGAATTAATTGACCACCTGTCCTCACTAATGTATGAAAAGCGACATATTCATTGTTTGCATGCTAATTATTTTATGGGCTTCATGTAGTATAGAGAAGGCCCAATAATGTAAAGCACACATTACTATTTATCAATATGAAATAGACCAGACTTAATTCCATATTCACCTATTAGCCTCACTCATGCCATAGCTGAGTAGGTTTGTGTATTAGTACTCTCGTTCTTATGATTTTAGCCACATTCTTGTGTGTTTAATTTCAGTCTTGTGTTCAGTATTAAACCAGATTGGTCAAGTGTCTGATCAGCACCTATAACTCATTGTTTGCTCTTAGAAATAATTAAATTCCTCTCTAGCCTGTGATTGCAATCTTTGAGATAGAGTCATGCCCTCTCCTTAGAGGGTTTCAAGTCAGCAGTGGACTAGATTCTAAATTTCCATTAATACTAAGTCTTAGGGGTAGCATCAGGAGAAACTTTACTTTTCTCAATGGGATGGAAAACAACAGCCTCCAGTGTCCTGGTTTGTTCCATGTGCCAGGCTCTGTGCTAAGCCCTTTACATATATTATTAACCCACTTATCACAAGCAGATGGAGTAGGCATTATTGGCATGATCCCTTTAAAGATTAGGAAATTGAGGCTTGGAGAGTGTATATTATTTGTTCAAGATTCCATAGCTGTAACTGGAATACTTGACATTAAATCTTGGTTTCTCTGACCCCAAAGTGAATGTTCTCAACCACTATGCTAAGGAGCTCAATTAAAGTTCTTTTTTATGCAATGATGTCCCAAAGACTATGCTCAGCCATACTGACTTTCATCTGCCTCTGATAATAAGCAATGTTTTTGTGCCATGTATTCATGTCTCTCCGTTCCCCACTGTCCCTTTTAATTCAGTGTCATTACTCCATGAAGAAGGCAGCCTCTTTTCTTGGGATTGGCACTGAGAATGTTTGCTTTGTGGAAACAGATGGAAGGTAATGGGGACAGGATCCGGAAGCCTGGTGGGTGGAGGGAAAAATTCATACGGTTTATAAAGCAGTATCATTGTCTGTTAACTACAAAACATAACTGAAAGTCTCAAATCTTTGTCCCTTAGAGGTAAAATGATACCGGAGGAACTGGAGAAGCAAGTCTGGCAAGCCAGAAAAGAGGTGAGAGGGGAGAAAGCAAGAGGGAGAGATAACGTGTGTGTGCGCACGCGCGCGCTTATGAGAGAGACAGAACAGCAAGGAGAGAATGCAAACAGCCAAAGCCATTTCTGTGTGTGGGAGAGAGAAGAGAGCATGTTGGAATTAAAATAGGAAAACTCATTTACAGATGTTCTATTTCCAAGTGCTTGGCTCTCTCCATGTTCTGTGGAGTTTCCCGGATATTCATGTTCCCAGGTAGCTGGAGCCTATTAAAACAATGAAATTACCCGTATTCAGGATTCTTGGCTAGAAGAAGCTCTAAGGATGAACCCAGTCTCTCCAGCAGGGCCCCAGCATCTCCTCTCCTTATAACTCCTCCCTCTGAGAAATCTGCAGGACAAACCGATTTTCTCTGGGCTGCATTCAGGGTGATTCCTGATTTCTTGACCAACCTATTCTCCCAGGTTGCTTCCAACCCAAAAACCCATCTATTACTATCACCCCCCTGTTGGGTCTGTATCTAGTAGTTCAGTGGCAGAACGTCCTTTCTTCCTTAGCTGCTAGAACATATTAAAACTGAAATATTGGAGAAAGCAAGGCATGGCTCTGTGCGCCTGCTATGGCTCCAGCCAAGGCTGGCCTTAACACTTGCATTTTAAAAAGGGATGTCATTAGGCCAGGTGCGGTGGCTCACACACCTGTAATCTCAACACTTCGGGAGGCTGAGGCGGGCAGATTATGAGGTCAGGAGATCCAACCCATCTTGGCCAATACAGTGAAACCCGGGCTCTATAACAACACAAAAAAAATCGCCGGGCCTGGTGGCGCATGCCTGTAATCCCAGCTACTCAGGAGACTAAGGCAGGATAATCGCTTGAACCCAGGAGGCGGAGGTTGCAGTGAGCTGAGATGACACCAGTGCACTGCAGCCTGAGCGACAGAGTAAGACTCCATCTCAAAAAAAAAAAAAAAAGAAAGAAAAGTGTCATTATTTTGGTGTCAGCCATTTTGCTTTTTGGACCAAAAGTCTGCTAGATCTGCTGCTTCTCTCCCATCCCACCGCTGCCTGCTAATGGAGCTTGAGTCCATTCTCCAGTAACTTTCCAATAGGTAGCAACAAAGTCAGGCATGACTACTGAAAAATAAAAAGCCTGGCTCCTGAGCTGGGATACACGTGTATCTATCCTCATAGGAGTTCATCCTCTAACAAGGATGGGTTTTTAAATGTTTTTAAGTTCAAATATTACAGTTCTGTTATTGTACTTTTTTTTTTTTTTTTAAGTTTTCATAAAAATCACCTAGCCCTGGGGAATGCTAGATCACAATATTTGGCTTGAACTTCTGTATTTAAAATTTCTGCCATTATTGCAGATGTATGACTTCAGGTATGTGTCCTTCATCTACATTTCTTTTTTAAACATTCCAATGACAAGTGAACTTGATTGTTATCTGGTGGTTTACGTAATCAGATTTGACTCGGGTATAATTCTGAGTAACAACTTGTAAGTTCGTTCTGCTAAGAACTGCAGATATTTTTTCTAGTTTTAGTTTCATTTCTTTCTACACAAATTCCTATCAAAAATAATTTGATTATTAATCTTGGTGGGGAATATTAATTGTGTCATGATTGTTTTTCTTCCCTCCCTATTTCTCCTTTCCTTCTTCCCTTTCTCTGTTCCCTATTCTCCACTTCTTAAATTTTAAACTTCTCATTACAAAAAATTGTAAATGTTTCCTAAAAAACCAACACACACAAAAACCAAGAGACTAATATCATAAGCCTTCATATACCCATTCCGTAATCAACAGCCATTAGGCTCCTATTTCATCTGTACCACATTCCCTCATACCACCACTAGATTGGTTTTAAGTAAACCCTAGACATAATATCATTTGATCTATAAATAGTTGAGTATATTTATAAAGAATATATACTCGCTTTAAAAACATACCATAGTTTTGTTTAAAATTTTTAATATCAAATCTTCGGTGTATATTAAAATTTCCCCCATTGCCCTTTTAAAAAAATAGTTGGCTTGTCTGAATTAAGGATTCAAATAAAGTTCACAAATTGCATTTGGTTGATATGTCAAATGTAAATGTTTTCTGATCTATGGCTTCCTCCTCCCTCCTCTGTCCCCCACTACCATTGATTTGTTGAAAAGATCAGGTCCTTTGTCCTGTAGAGCTTTCCACGTTATAGATTTTTGTGGATTACATCAAGAATTTGAGACCCTAAGTGCTCACCTCCTCTGCACCATCCGGTTTGTTCTTTATATTTTCTGTAATTTGGCAGTTAGATCTTGAGACTCAATGAGATTTAAGCTGTATTTTTTTTTTTTTTTTAAAACCAGGGAGGCTTCATGGGTCCTGCCATCAGGAGACATCCTGTGTCTCTTTTTTGTAATAACATTGATTGGTGGCGTCTGCTATCATCAGTCTATCCATCACAATATACCCTCCATCAGCTTCTCACTTGATGGATTTTGCTGCCATTGATGATCATTGTCTAGACCCATTATTTCATTAAGTGATGTCCTAATTCCTTCTCTCCTTCCTTATTGTCAGGCATTCTGCTATAAAGAAAAATATTCCTCCTCGTTTTGTTTCCCTAAGGAAACACTGCACACCAAGACAGGATAGACGTCCTATTCTTTCCCCTTATTTATCAATTTTTAAAATAGTGAGTTTGTTGCCTAGCATCCCCTAAAGATAATCCTTATTTTTTTAGTGTCATTAAGATTTCATATTTCTAGCATAGAGGGTTTTATTCCACCACAGTCATTATCATTTTCGTCGCTCAAATTTTTGTTTGTTTTGACAGTGAAAGTACATGAAACGGACATAATACTAAAGTTGAGAACTCAAAAAAGTAAGTTTTTGAAAAGTAAAAATTGCTTTAGGCACATTTAAAAGTAGGGCAATGGGGTTAGAGTTGGTATGTCTCCTCAGTTTTCTTTCAAGTCAGCTAATACTTGAGCCTGGATTCACCAAGGACAAACCTTGCATCCATTCTGAGATAATAATATATGATGACTGGTTCATTTTTCTCAGTAGCTTCAGACCTAGTTTTGTTTCAAGCTTTTAACTTGTGTTGTTTCAGATATAAGGAATAGTAGTACATCAACTATTTTTTCTGCTGGGATTCAACTCCCTGGCCTATGACAATCCATTGAAAAACTGTTGCACGGTGACCTTGTCTTGATGTCATTACAGAGATGGTGAAAACCACAAAGCATCATAGGTTCTAAAGGGCTTACTGACAAGCTCAAACTAGGATGAACACTGAATATTTAGAGACATTTTGTTAGAGTTATGAGTGTGAGAAATGACAAATTTTCTTAGGCAATACAGCTCACTGGCAGCATGCAATCAATACTGTTTCTACTGAATTTTCTCATTAACAGCATGAGATATGGGGAAGAAAATCTAGAAGGTTAAATCCAGATTGCAAAAGTTTAATTTCTGGGCTTGTATTTATAGTGAGATCTTTTTTAAAAGCTGAGAAAAACTCATTAATAGACTATAATAGCTTGCAAAGGTATTTTCTCATGACTGTCAGGATGTCATATAGTTTATGAGGAAAAGCCCAACCATTAAAGACACCTTAAATGGTTTTAGAAAATTACTTTTTCTATTGCTTTTAATGATTTTAATGATTGATGTAAAGCTGGTCTTATTTCCTTTCGGTCAGTGGTACGATAAAGCCATAGTTGTCAGTAGTTTGAATACAGGGAAGAATTTTCAAAACCTTTGGTTTCTCCAGGGCTCTGTCACCTACTGACTTGGCTCTACAAGTTTTGGGTAGATGGAATTGATTCTATTTGCCACAGCTGTCTCCCAAGATGGCAAATGGATTTATTATATACCATCACTTTGATCTGTATGAGTCTCAATTTAGAGATGCAAACCATATATTCCTGCTCTGCCCCACTTTCCATTGAGAAATAACATCTTTCTGTCAAAAGTCAGTTAAATTGGAAAGAGTTTGGTTCAAACACAATAATCCCTGGCATAAAAGGACATAAAAATATATTGCAATGAGCATGCACTTTATAAAACTGAGGGGAAAAAGTGGCTCCATGCTAAATGGAGAAAAAAAAAATTTTAGAGGCAGTTAACGACTTTTAGAGGCAATAAATATTCTTGTCACCATTTCTCAGGTGCTCTTGAATCTTCATATTCTAGTTGCTCCCCTCACCCCCACATGTGTCTGCAAGTGTTCTTGCAGGGCACCTACACAGCGAGCAACACATCCCTGCCACTGTCCTGTTGCAATCCAGGTGGAAACAACCTCATGTACTCTTCCTCGATCTGGTTGGCATCGAGTCCTTTAATGGGGACAAAGCGTGTGACTAGCTTGACCGAGATAACCATTCACTGTGTGTGTGCACCCACATTCTCCCTTTCCTTCTCTATTTCCCACCAGCGCCTGTTCACTCCACGAGATGCAGTCATCAGCTATGTGAGGAGGAATCACCATGATAGAAGTGATACAGATTTTCTTTTCCAGCACATGCCAATGGATTTCTCTGTTGCAGCACCTGTTTTGGAGAAGGTGTCTCAGTGAGGTTGCCTTATCTCCTCTGTTGCTGAATTTGTACCTGAGTATAATTCTACATTCTTTGTTTTATAACTGCACTTACTTTACAAGGAGACAAGCAAACAGGCCTGCATGGTTTACTCCTGGAGCTCTGTTCGTATTCCAATTTTTTTTTTTTATTTATTTTTTTGAGAAGCCGACAGTGATGGCACAATTTTTTCAGGAAGAAATTAGGAGTCATACAAAATGTCAGTTTGCTGTTGCAGCTGAAGTTATTAAATTTCTATCTGGACAATTTAAAGAACAAAACATTACAAAAAGAACATGAGAATACTGAAGAATACTGAGAATACTGAAGATGTACACTTGATCTGTTTATAATGCCAAGAGACCACATATTGACAACATTTAAAAACACCCATTGAATTAGTGACTATCTCCAAAAAAAACCATGTAACTCTCTGGATGCATAACCCTTTATATTTTCCAGCTATTACAGGACAAGCTTAGTGATGACGGTGACAATTCTCTTTGTGTTTTGGATCCTTACAGGGGGCAGCACCGTTTCTTGTCTGTGCCACTTCTGGTACAACTGTGTTGGGAGCCTTTGACCCTCTGGATGAAATAGCAGACATCTGTGAGAGGCACAACCTGTGGCTTCATGTAGATGTAAGTTCATCTATGTGTACATACGTGTTTAACCTTTGGTCTTTTTGTAGCCTTGGTATGACATTTTTCTTATTCTCAGAAACTAGATGTGGAGTCCCCAGTGCTTTTGTTTTTCAAATTGGGGAAAACAAGTATGCCGCTTTCTGTGAAGTATAAATGAGAAGATTCCAAGGCTTCATAAATTTTTAGTTTTCTGGATTCCATTTTGCTTCTTTCACTCCCATGGGCCATATTTGGTCCTCAAATCTACTGTCATTGAAGCAGCCTGGTGTAAGGGACACATCTGGGATTAGGGAGCTGAGAGACTTTGGTTTGAGACTCTTATCTGCCTCTTCTTCATCGTGATCTTAGCCTTTTGGATTTCAATTTCTTCATTTGTAAAGGGGGGGGCATTGTGGATGTGGGCTATAAAGGATCTTCTAGCTCTAAAATTATGATTCCAAACAGCTGGAAAATGCAAAAAGCTACATGACATAATTGCATGCTATAACTAAAGCAAGTTTTCTCTGGATCTATCAAGTACTTATTTGAGGGGGGTTGGGATAATATACTCTTCACTGTTTTCTAATAAAGCACTGGCTTTTAAAAATTTTTTTGTAAGTCCTGTGGTTATTCAAAATACGTATTTCCTTAAATCAAAGGCAACTTTAAAAATTCTACTTCTCCAGGGTTAGAATGCTGAATTCAGTCAACTATGAACACTTGTTGAGCTTTTTAACTTTCTTTTTCAAAATTAAATTTTTTTGTGAAACCAGGAGTTCATTAGTTTGATTCTAACCAAAGAGACAATTGCATGTGGTATTTTGGGACCTTTCCTCTGGTAAGTGATAGTTTCAGATCCTCCTTATCAGAAGCAATATTCTTTGACTTGCTGAACAAAAGAAAACAGCATTTGGGGGATATATCCACATATAATTTTGTAGTTTAGATGATTTTATGCTTTCGAAGTGTTTATTTCAATCCAATCGTATCATGTAGTACAGTGTCTGTGATATGATTCAAAGTTGACATTAACTGTATACTAACATTTGGTAAGAGCAACAGTAGTATAAAGTTCACTAGAGTTATTGCTTCTATTAAGTATGCCAATGGCAATACTTCAGGTAGATTATTTGTGACTTTTTTTTTTTTTTGAGACAGAGTCTCGCTCTGTCGCCCAGGCTGGAGTGCAGTGGCCTGATCTCAGCTCACTGCAAGCTCCGCCTCCCGGGTTCACACTATTCTCCTGCCTCAGCCTCTCGAGTAGCTGGGTCTACAGGTGCCCGCCACCACGCCCGGCTAGTTTTTTTTGTATTTTTTTTAAGTAGGGACGGGGTTTCACTGTTAGCCAGGATGGTCTCGATCTCCTGACCTCGTGATCCACCCGTCTCAGCCTCCCAAAGTGCTGGGATTACAGGCTTGAGCCACTGCACCCGGCCCTATTTGTGACTTCTTAATGGGGTTTTAGCATTTGTATCTATTCATATTTCAACTTATATCTTATTGATTTTTATAGACTTAGAAGCATAATACATTATATCCTAAAAGATAATATGAAGTGAGCATTTAACTATAGAAATAAGGGGGAAAAATCAAATACATCAGCAGTTATACCTAAATATTATACTCTCATAAAAGAAACATCACATATGGATTATATAGTTTATGTAGTTTGTATAAAACGCAGAAAAGTAAATAGTTTATGTAAAACAGTAACCACAGCAGCTTTTAAATTGGGAGTGACATTAAGAGATTTATGGGGCTTAGAGAAAATTGTGATTTATAAGTATGAATGAAAAGCTCTTTCAGTCTTCTAAAAATTAAAGGTTGAGTCTTTGAAGAAAACATCTTTATAAGGGAATGTAAACCACACCAAATTATCCTATTTGTGCATAGCATGCCCATCTGGCAAATGCCTATAGTATTAGATTAAATTTGACACAAGCCTATCTGGCTTATTAAAGACAGTGTTTACCCATCCTTTAGTATTGTGGGTGTCAAATCCATAAAATGTTATTACAGGAACATGTAACTTATGTTGAAGAAACTTCATATGCCATAGGTACTTTATTAGTTTTAAAGATAAATTAACAAATTGCAATAATTGCTTGGACCTGTTGCAAATCTTCTAAATGGCATTTTAAAGCTTCTTTAAAATACTAAAAACTGACATTCTCTTTTTAAAAATGAAAGGACATTTACTTGTTCTGAGTTTTCAGTAAAACAATACTGCTCTGCATACATATCACGTTTTATTAATTCTAAGATGCACTTATTTGAAAAAAATTTAACATCTGAAATTGGTATTTTGATGTCAATTTTTATTAGTACACAAAAAATGGGGATGCTTACATTTGATAGTGTCTTCAATTTGGTAATATAATGCATTTTTAAGCAACCGAATAAGAAAAACTAGTTTTATTAGACTCTTTCACCCCCAGTACAGTTCTTCCTTCATGAGGGCAATTGTTATGCGAGCTTCTGCCTGAGCTTCGGACTGGTCCAGCTCTTCTTTAAATCAGAGGTTGTAGCTGCTGGAAGCCTCATTTCTCAGCAAAGCTTCCTATTCTCTCACCCATTCTTCATTCCAAGTCCCATAGAAGGCAGCAAACATATTTAAAATCCTGGGCTTTAGAGGCTGCCAAATCTCAATTCCATTCCTTCCTTCACTTTCCTTTCAGGATTGGTTCTACTATTAATTAGCTAATTAAAGACAAATATATAAAAAATGATAAACTGTGGTGCCTCACATATAGTAAGAGCTTAATAAATGACAGTCTTTATTGAGATGGAAAGCCAAATTCCATCATTTAGGTGATTGGTTTGATAATTTCACAGGTTCCGGAGTTAGGAATTAGAGTAAAGCAAATTAAAGTATGGCATTTACATCAGGGGTGTTTTATTTATTTATTTATTGAATAAATTTATGGATGAGCTGTTCCTAATCCTGCCAAAGTACTTTGTAAACTGCTGAACTAATACCTTGAAAGAGTTCTTGTGATTTCAAAACTTGAATCCAGTTCACTAGAATTGGGAGATGATTATTGACCTTTCTGGAGAAGGAGTGGAGGAAGAGGCTAGCTCAGGGAGCATGAAGGGGTAGAAGTGTAGGGTATGAGGCAGGTGGAAAGGGTTAGCGAGTAAACAGGTGTAACTGAGTAGACTAATCCTTCCTGTAGTTGTCACTGAAAGGTTCTCAGAGAGGTTGGGCAATAAGAAGTGAGAAAAGTAGGTAATTTAAGATTTAGGATATGTAATGAAAGTCAAGAAAAATGGGATATGTAACTCATCTTAATATTTGCAAGGACCAAGTTCTCAAAATCCAGATCTGGAGATCCTCAAGGTGTAGGCTGGGATAAAATTTTCCTAGATGCTGAGGACATTTGCCTTTGTGGCTCAGCCTTAGTCTCACATGGTCCATTGTGAATCCAAGTAAGGGAGAAAATGCAACAGGAAGGGAACTTGACTGACAATACTAAGTTACTAATCCTTTACCTGGGAATGCTTTGGGATTTGAACATACAACATCCTTGAAACACATCAGACCTCACAGGCCTCTGGGGACCCCATTGAGTTGCTGGAGACTCTAGTCCATGGGATCAAGGCTGGTGCTAATATGAGGCCAGTGGGATTCGCAGGGCTCAAATTTTGAGAAGGATTCACTCTTAGGGCCTTGCAAGAGTCCAGCTCTGAGACCGAGTTCCTCCTTGAATTATGCACTCTACTGACTCATTCACTTTACCCTAGTCTCAGCTGTCAATGAAAGTTGTTTTTAAGTGGGATTTAAGGCCACAAAGTTGCTTGTGCTGTACTTTCTCATTGGCTACCAATGGACCCAGCTTTTGTAGTACTCTGAGGATCATGGAGATACTTCATTTTCTTTATCTTCCATATCTGTGATGCATACAACCTTGCCACTTCCTTCTATATATTAAGGTCTATCTATGCCTTTAAATTCCATAGCCAAAAACAGAAGTTGCTACATCCTAAGCAACTCCTGAACTTACCTATTGCCTGAAGCATCTGTCACCCTCATTGCACATGCTATACTCCCCACTTTGGCCAAATTGTCACCTTCCTTAAGTAATGATGTTAACATGACAAGAGAATAGGCTTTGAATCTCAGATCTGATTTTTGTCATTGGCAAGACCTTGGACAATTTACCTGAACACCTCTGAACTTTAGAAGAAGTGGAAGTGATCATAACTCCATTCTTAATGGAATGCTGTAAGGTTTAAATAAACATGGAAAGCATTCAATACAGCCCAAGCTAGTCCCCTCAAATTCTCAATACAGTTATCCTTTAATGTCCTACAAATTAAAATTTATGTCTGCTCCATTTTCAAGAAGCATACTAACTTTTGTATTTCTTACATCAATTTTTCTCCCTTTGCTCCAGACCTGTTGACTATGGGATTTTATCTGAGCTCCCCTCTCCTTTGCTCACAAAATTTATTTCTCCTGTGGATAACTTCCTTATGTCCCAAGCTTGCTCTCTCTCTTTTGTCCTTGTTTCATTTGCAGATATTTCTGAAAGCCATTTAGCTAAAATGATCTAATTTTTCATTAACAGATATTTCCACCTAGATCATTCCAGTTGGTCTTCTATCTACCATGTCAATAATATGGCTTGTTCATTATGTAGACTGCTAGTCCTTAGCCCATGTCTCATCAAACACTGAATGGCAAAATGTTAGCATTGTGAAGATGTTGTCTATGTTAGAGTCTAAGCTACAAGAGGGCATAGACTTTGAACCTCTTCATCCACACATAGCTCAGTTGGTTAATATACCAATATATGACGTGTGAATTTATAATTCTAAGGGTCAGTGAGGGCCCATCTATTGTGATGAGGTTCTAGTTGCTTGAGTAGAACCAGTGATCAGAATTTCCTGGGGTACAAATCGGGTAACATGACATAAAAAGAAATATCAAATAATGCGGATTGAGGTCGTCACTGAGGGTTTTCTATGACAATCCACTGGTAAACAAATAACATTGAAATAACATTGTTTTGGTACTGTAAATATCTCAACAGGCTTCTTGGGGTGGCTCAGCTTTGATGTCGAGGAAGCACCGCAAGCTTCTGCATGGCATCCACAGGTAAATGTAGTTTCCTGGTGTACAGCCAACTTTTGTCAGGCAAAGGAATCTCTTTGGACTAAATGATATTTTGAAAATAGGGAAAGAAAGTAATTGTTTTCCTTAAATAAACCAAAAAAAAAAAAAAACAAAAAAAACCGAATTCCTTAAACCACTCAGACAAGGAGTTCTGTAGAACAGTAAACTGTATGAGTACTGAACGTAGATACTGATAATGATAGTACTCCATTGCCTGTGGAAACTAATTGAGTCCTCTCCTCCCTTCTCTGTCCCTTATGTTTAAAAAATAGGGCTGACTCTGTGGCCTGGAACCCACACAAGATGCTGATGGCTGGGATCCAGTGCTGTGCTCTCCTTGTGAAAGACAAATCTGTAAGTTTTCCTCTTGTGTTCTTTAGGCTTCAAGGAGGTTAAGTCACTGTGTTTGCCAAGGGCTTCATTTTTGCTCACCTCTTGGCGACTTGGGCAAAGTGTAAATTGAAGGTCTTTGGGAAATGTTGATGGTCTCTAAATGAAAGACAAAGAAGCCTAGATAAAATATTTAGTGATTCTGCTCAGGTAATTTTGTGGATTTGATTTAGGTATTATATAATCTCATTAGTTACAGCAAAATGGTCTCTCTCACCCGCATTTGGATTATATTTTAAAACTCAGTTTTAAACATTGCCAAGATTTTTTTCTCCTTGATTAAGTCTGGGATTTAAGTTATCTTGAAACTTCTGCTGAGAAAGTGGAACAGATGTGTGTCATACATTAAATTGAATACTTAATACGCTTAGCTAGGGCTTAACAGCCCGTTTATATGGGAAGACATTTGTTCAGGGCTGATCATTGAACACTGATTTATTAGGGGATTGCTCATCCCAAGTGGTTGGTACTTAGCTTCTTTTGGAATGCTAGGGAGAGTTGGAAACTTGTCTGGTAACTGTGAGGCAAGTGGGAAAAAAGTTGAGGCTCCTGTTGGCCGGAGGTATAAACTCTGTGTTTTCCATGGGTTAAATAAGGATCCTTGTGGGAAGTGGCCCAGGCTGGGAAGTGCTACTTCATTCTTAGAAATGCCTCCTCAAGATCTGTGTTCAGCATGTGGGTGATCTTTCTCAGCCATCTGTTTACATTTTTTTCTTAGGGGACTCCCTTTGCCAATGCTAAAGTCATTTTCTGTTTTTAAGGAATTTTATTTCAAATGAAAACTATTTTTAAAACTTGAAACCTAGTCTTGCATGTGTAGCTATTTACAACTTTGTAAAGAAATTGCGATATTTATATGCTAGTGCCCTGTGCATTTTGACATGATCAAACAGAATGTCCATCAGAAACTAGGAACAGGTTTTGCTTCTATAGAAATAGACACCACCAGAAGTATGAATCAGTTCCTTAATGTTGTATTAGGTTGGATATAGTTGAATGTATTCAATACCATTTAATTTTTAAATTTAAGTTTTAAAATTGTGGTGTGACTGTATTTGTAACTGAAAGGTAGTTTAAGATTACTATATTGACTGTGAACCAAAGAACGTAATCAACTTGCCCATAGGTACACATTTAGGATGGTACAGAGATAGGAATTTACTCAAGTTTTCTTTTGGTCTAGGTATAAAAACAAAAATGTGTCAAGCATCCTTAATGAGTGAGGTATTTTACATGTGCTTTCTACCTAAATCAGACAATCTGAATGACAAACTTATCTGTTGGTGTGATACGCTAAGGAGTGGGAAACTTAGACTAAAAATTTTATGACTACTCTTAAATAACTTTCTAGCTTTCATACACTTTTCTTGTTAAATATTTGAGTAATTTAGCCAACAACTGAATTACATTTATGTACTTGAGGCAATTTAAATTTTTCTGGATCATATAACTCCTTAACAGGGTTTTATTTAAAAAAAAAAAGAAAAAGAATTCATTCCTGGATCTTAGTGACAATAATAACCATGTCTGTTTTTATGGCATGAATTAAGAGGTTAGGGGAATTCTATTCACTGTGCAAAGAACTGAGCACTTTCAAAAAGTTACCCGATTTTTTTTTTTAAATGAAAAGACTGTTTTCAATTTAAATGGAATAGAAAGCTGAACCATGAGATATGAGATATGGCAATCAGTTTAAGCTTTGTGTTGGCAGTTTTCTATCTCTTTTGTACCTGGTTTCTACCTGTTATTCTCTCTTCCATATCATTAATTCATTCCATCAACCAGCATAAATGATTTGTGTAGGCTAGACACTGTGCGATTCTAGGCTCTTATAGCATTGAATTAGACATATTCCTCAGAGACAAAGAGCTTTTAATCTCACAGGGAAGACAATGAACAAAATGCAGATATTTAATTTTTTAACTGCTATTTTGATAAGTGCACCAACGAATGTCAGACTCTGTTGATTGTAAAAATCAACAGGCATTCCAGCCTCCTTCTCTTCTTGCCCATCTCCCAATATTCACCTAACTAGCCTCCCCTGCAGTTTCCACATGACGTAGATATGTCTAATGTGATGTAGGAAAATATGAGGACCTTGAGAAGAATTTTATACGAAAGCATTCTTCTCACATTTTTCTACCTTGAATGCAGTTGCATCAGACTTGATATATGGGTTGTTACCGTAAGGCAATTACCCTAAATTTTAAAAATTAATATGCACAGAATGACAGAAACAAAGGGAAAGTCTTGGATTGGGGTAATTTTGAAACGTTGCACCCCCAAAACATGACTCCTTTCAGACTTTGTGATATCAGTGGTTAAAATTAAATGTTCTTACTACTGAAACCATCTCCATTGGGTAATCTGTTAGTTGCAGCCAAATGCACCCTTGTCTGATATAGAGAAGAATATGTCACTTCAGTAATACACAGTAGGGAGATCTATGATGTTCCAGGTGGAAGGAACATCATGTAAAAATTCTTTAAGAAAGGAATGTCCTTTTTTAAAAAATTAAAAAACTGAAAAAGCCTATTTTGACTGAGGCATAGAGAATAATGTGAAGATTGACATAATATGAGACTAAAGGATCAAGCAGTGGGTAGATCATGAAGGGTCTTAGAGACTATTGTGATGATTTTAGACTTGATCTTTAGAACAATAGAAGAACTAAAAGTTATTGGAAAAGATTTTCGTTTAGGACAATGAATTGGAGGGGAACAAGAATAGATAGAAGACTAAAAAAAGGCTTGTAATATCCTATGCCAAAGTTGATGGCAAGAGAGATGGGAAAATGTGATATTTAGTATACATTTTAGCTGTCAATTTAGACAGGGCTGAATTATCAACTATTATCAATTACTATGGGAGATGAGAGAGAAACAGGTGTCATGTCTATCTCCCTAAATAGAATCATTCATTCGGTTGCTGTATCAGTAATCAGGATACAGCAACTGAATGAATGATTCTATTTAGGGAGATGAAGATCACTGGAGGAGAAGAGTTGAGAGTGAAACACCTTTCAGTGTTGCTTATACTAAATGAGGTTCTTCTGAGGTATTCAAGTGAGGAAGTCACATAGGAGGTTGACATACGGACCCAAATCTAAGAAGTCTATATAGTAAAGTCTATTACAGAATTGTTGACACATAGATGACATATGAGGTCATAGGAATGGGTTAGATGCCTTGGGACGCTCTTTGGAATTAGAAGAAAATAAGATCTAGAACTTAGCCCTGAAAAACTTTAGCATTTAGAGATTAGATAGAGGAGGAAGGATTCTCCATGAAGGCTGAGTCAGAATGGCCAGGGAGATGGTGGGAAGACCACAAAGAGGGATGCTAACCAAACAGAGAAGAACATGTAGGAGAAAAAAAGTCCTCTCTTTTCCTTACCCATTGCAAGGTTCATGGCTGACTTTCCTATAACAAAAGACATTGACAAAAGAAAAGCATAACAAGCTTATTTAAACCAACATTTTATGTGAAACAAGAACCTTCAGAGATGAAGCTCCAAAGGCCCAGGTAAAACTATTTTTCTGGACAATCATGCAGAAGTATGGTCATAAGCTGGCAGGGGGGACTTTGCAGGGCCTGTTTGTCCAGGCTTCTTGACCGCCAGGCATAAGGTAGGACCCCTCTGGAATGAGGGTCTTAACAGCCTCCTTTTAGGGGAGGGAGGTCAAATAATTATTTATGACCATGTTTCAGGGAAGAAAGATGAGAGAAGGTCAGCGAGTGACCTCCAAGGTGCCATATTTTGGATAACTGTGTTCTGAGCCATACAAATGTGAGGCATGTGAATGACTTTCATCCTTCGTGTGACAGCTTATTGTCACCCTCTTCTTTGAAGAGTCCCCAGACTTACCAAGATAAACTGGCACCTCCCCAGTGTTGTTTCTCAGACTGTTTTCCTCCTTTAAAGTGCTTATATAGTTGCTATATGCATAGTGTGTATAATTACTATTTGTAATTATGACTTCTCATGTAATATTCTCTCCCACTGAATGTAAGCTGCATGAGGAGAAAGACTATCATCATATTCACCACTTTGTTGTCAGTGCCTAGCAAGTAATTCACTGAAAAGGGAAAAAAATCTAGTATCTATCTAAAAACTGAATGGTTAATTAAATATATTAATCATCCTCAGAAATATCTGCCTTCATGTCAGCAGTAACTAAGAATTTGAATTTTTCTCTCACCCCAAATTATTCCTTTTGAAAACTCCAAGATACAATGATTAAAATTATAGTTGATGAGCTCTATTGCTTAGGTCCTAACACAAGGCTTGTGTTAGGACAATCATTGATGAATAGTGATTTTAATTGGTACTTCTTCTGTTGATGTAAGAGGATAACTCTAGTTTAAAAGAAAGTAAATTACTCAGTAAATATACTGCTGTTCAGGCAAAAACTAATTCCCTAATTTGTACCTGCAAAGCCCTGACATCCACAATGCTGTTTTCCTGATTGACTGGTAGCTTTTGCATTTTTGATTTCCTGTGTTAGTAAATAGGACTGCTTCAGGAACAAAGCACAGCTGTTGCTCTCAAAGTTGTACTATCACTAACCCCCTTTGAATCACAGGGATAAAAAGAAAATCAGGGATTTAAAAAAAATCTGATTATAAATAGGTTGACTTCAGAGGTAAATGCGGGATTTGCGTGGCTGTTTTGGATCAAAGACAGTTTTGATGCTTTGATCTAAAATAAAAGGCAATATATTCTAAGAATCAGTTACACAGATGGAGAAAAATCTCAGTATCAGCTTTTTGATTTTTAGTGTTTATGAGACAGATTTTTTAGTTCAAAAAAAAAAAAACCCCAACAGGTATGAGAACATGAAACATGCTAATCAGATGGCATTTTAAGTATAAATGATTCCTCTTTATTTCTACCTACCATTATCATTCCATTTGAACTCACAATGCCTTTCTGTTGAACCTAGCTGCTACAGAAAACTCAAG